ATTTCTGAAATTTAGTAGAAACGTTCGGTTTCAGAGCGGAGCACTGTGCAAAGCGACGAAACTCCGCAGGTTGTATATAACTGCTTACAACGGCGTGAAGAATTTCAATTTTCCGAACATTTTGGAATACAATCACGGCCTGAGGCACCTGGTCATCGACGTACGCTCCGAACATTACCGAAGTAAACGAACGCCGCTCTCGTCGTTCTCTCAGCTCACCGAAAACGTTTTTCATCGCAGGTACAAAACGAGACGAATTTGGAGAAGGAGATGAAAGGGAGGTTCCCCAACAAATTGTTCAACGTAACTCTGACCGGTCGCGCGCTCAAGGACATAAGTCCCGACATTTTGCGAGTACGCGTTTCTCTCTCGATCATTTCTCGATTAGCTTCGATTCAGAAGACGCTTGACGAGCGTTCTCATTTCAGGGTATAAGGAATCCGCACTTGCACTTCGGGATGTACAACACGAGCGTGAGCACCGTGCCGAAGGATGTGTTCGATAACGCCGAGTGGGTGAGGAACGTGACCGTTCATCTTCATCATAGCGACGTGCGGACTCTGAACAATCCGTCGAACGGGTACAAGCCGGGTGTACCGGGGAAACGATTCTTGTTGAAACTCACCGTCGCGGGAAACTACTTCACTTGCGACTGCGACATCGGGTGAGTCGTAATGTAAATTTTAACACTGTGTCTACCGGTGTCGAAACACGCCTCCTGAAATTTTTGCTTAAAATTATTATTATCAGTTTAATACTTTTTACATTTGCACGAACGAAATTCGAACGATTCTATTTTCTTGATGTTCAGATGGATGGAAGACTGGCAGAGGAAGCACAGGCAGTACCAAGAAGATCGTTGCACCACTTACAGCGAGTTCAAGAACTTCGAGCGGGACGAAGAGGATGACGAATTTGATTGCTGGGACAACGGTTGGGACGACGATCTGCGCGAATCGTTTTGCTTGAACAAGAACAACATGTCGGTACTGGAAGCGTTGAAGACCGACCTCGAGTGCGGATGGGGCGCCGCGGACTCCGTCCAAGCTCCTCACCGTTCCCTGCTCTTCTTCTTCTTCTTCTTTTTCGTGACGGTGATTTATTAAAGTCGTCTAAACATTTGATCACGTATTTCACGCGTTCCCCGTCTAGCTCGCATAACGATGCCCAACGCGAACACGCTGCTGTCGTACGTTGCGGTGGAATCGCGAGCGCGCCGGCGGGGAACGAACACATCTTGCACATCCCCTCGTTTCTTCGGCCAGGGCCTAATAAAGTCTGATGAGACTGTCGGGTCAGTCGTTCGGATACTCGTACAAACTGACCATGTAATCACGACCAGTGCCGATCGGCGATCGGATTTCTTACAGAGAAGGCACTGGTGCCCACTTTTCTTCCGTGACACGTGTCCGTCGAAAGGAATTGAAGTTTTGTTCTCCGTATTCGTTGGCTCCTCTTCTCTCTCCCACAGTAAGTGTATAGAGATCACGGTAGGGTATGTAACCTTCACGATCGTTCCCTTGACTGTCACGGACGAATTTAAAGATCGAGTTCCAACGCCGAAGAGAAAATCAACTCGAGAATATACATACAATTTTTTACTTTGTTCTCGAC